AGACAAAAATATCTGAAAACGACACACAAATCACACACCACCCCTAGGGTACGCCTCACTGTTGCCTTGCCCCTCGAAAGGTGATCATCGAGTAGAGGACGTTTTAGTAAGTCCTCATGTCCATGAACATGGCATGAGGGTAGCTTCTAAGGTGTCTTCCATTGCTCCGGTGATCACCATGTCCCGAACCCTCGAATTGACCCGAACACCTCCAACGGTGGTGCTACCTACCTCTCAATGGTAGGATGGCACTACTTTAAGGACATTTACACAGACGAATTCCTTAGGGTAGGTAGACGACTCTAGATACTTGCTCTAACTTCAAAACAAATCAAAAAAATACTTTTCACACTGACACCTTTTCAAAAAGCTTTCGAAAGCAATTTTTCAAACACTCTTGAGGACTGATACAAGAGTCGAACTGAAATTTTCAAAGAAACTTTTTTTAAACCCACAGTTGAAAAGAAAACAAACAATTTTGAAAACACAATGAGCAAGTATCTAAGAGCCCATGGATAACCATGGATAGAAAGGGTGCTAACACCTTCCCTTTCTATAAATCTACCTCCCGAACCGAGAGCAATCTCTATAAGGAATTTTTCTGTGCTTTTGTCCTTTCCATTTGGAGAACATAAAAGACGGTGGCGACTCTTGCTTCCGCGATATTTCGCGAACCAGCGTTAAACAGTCAGTTCCAGATCCACCAATCACAATGCCCAATGAATAAGATTGTCGAAAAGACACCACATGAGGCTTGGACAGGGTCGAAGCCAAATGTGAGTCATCTTAGAGCTTTTGGATCAATGTGCTTCAGGCATGTACCTGAATAATTGAGAAAGAAGCTAGATAATCAAAGTGAAATCATGGTGCTCATAGGTTATTATTTGATTGGTACATACAAGTTGTATTCGCCAAATGAAGATAAACTAGTGATCAGTTGAGATGTTCTTGTAGACGAAAACAAAGGGTGGGACTGGAGTCAAAGTTCAGTTTGACAAGAATTAGACACAATCACAATTGTGTTCGACGAAGATGAACATAACGAAGCTTCCACAAGTCGAAATGAACAAGGTGATACTTCAACCAGTCAAGATGAATAACCATCTATGTAGAATGAAAGAAGGTCGAAAAGAACAAGAACTGAGTCGACCAGGCTAACTGGATATGAAAGGTTTCCAGATTAAGAAGTCGATGTAGATGGTGACTTAAACGAAGAAGCCATGATGATGGCTGAAGTAGAATCAATTCACTTGGGTGAAGCCTTGAGCAATTCGAATTGGTGTGAAGCCATGAAAGAAGAACTTAGAGCTATTGAGAAGAACAAGACCTGGGAGATTTTCGAAAGAACCAACAAGAAACCAATCAATGTAAAGTGGATTTACAAGGAGAAACGAAGGCCAAATGATGAGATTGTGAAGTATAAATCAAGATTGGTGGCTAGAGGTTTTCTACAAAAACCTGGTATTGACTTCGACGAAGTATATGCGCCTGTTGTAAGGTTAAATACAATCAGAGTTATTGTTTCGACAGCAGCATATAGAGGATGGAAAATGCATCAAATTAGATGTAAAGTCAGCATTTTTGAATGGTCTATTGGAAAAAGAAGTCTACGTTACTCAACCACTAGGATTCTACGTCAAAGAGAAGGAGTCGAAAGTATATAGATTAAGGAAGGCTCTCTATGGATTGAAGCAAGCTTCTAGAGCTTGGAATAAGAGGATAGATAGCTTCCTAATTGAAGCAGGTTTCACAAAGTGTGTCTCTGAACATGGAGTGTATGTAAATGATACCAATAGTGTCAGTCAAATCATTTTATACCTCTACATTGATGACTTACTCATTACAGGAGTAGACGAAGCTGAGATAATGAAGGTAAAGTCGAAATTAATGCAAGAATTCGAAATGTCAGACTTAAGGAATCTCTCATATTTCCTAGGGATGGAATTCAAAGACACTGAAGAAGGAGTATTCTTGCATCAAACGAAGTGTGCTCAAGATATTTTGAAGAGGTTTAAAATGAGCAACTGTAATGAAGTTGTCACTCCGTTAGAAACTGGATCAAAGTTGAAAAAGGAAACAGATGATGAGTTTGTAAGTTCGACCTTTTACAAATAAATCATTAGATCCTTGAGATATATTTGCAATACTAGACCAAATATCTGCCAAAGTGTAGGATTATTGAGTAGATTTATGGAGAAACCACAAGAATGTCATCTCATCACAGTAAAGAGGGTGTTGAGACACATAAAGGGAACTATTGATCATGTTGTGTTGTTACCAAAGAAGTAAAAAAACAACACAAATGTAGAAGTCCATGGATACACTAACTCAGATTTCAGTGGAGATCAAGACGAAAAGAAAAGTATTGCAGACTATACTTTCATGATTGAAGGTGCTCCAATCTTTTGGAGTTCGAGGAAGCAAAACATTATGGCTTTGTCATCATACGAAGCAGAATATGTGACTGCATCATATGCTGCATGCTAAGCAATATGGATCGAAATGCTACTTGAAGAACTCAGGATAATGGAATCTAAGAAGATGAAGTTGTTTGTTGACAACAAGTTAGCTATAAACCTGGAGAATCACCCAATGTATCATGGTCAAAGTAAGCACATAGAAATAAGGTACCATTTTCTGAGGGATCAAGTCAACAAAGGGAAGCTTGAGATAAAGTATTGCAAGATAGAAGTGCAACTGGCCGACATATTTACCAAACCTCTGAAGAAAGTCAGATTTGACGAGTTAAAGAAAAGCATCGGGATGAGAAGTCTCGAGAACATGAATTAAGGGTCGTGTTAGATGTATAATTCTTGTTCTGTCGAAATGCTTGTGTAGTGTATGTCAAATAGCTTTTGTATAGGTTATAAGTTGTATTCGACAGAGTCGAATACATCAGATATTGCAGTCTGTCGAAATCATATTTTGGGCTTTAACATTTTTGTCTAATTGGGTCTGGACATTGTTTTCCTATATAAAGGGCTGCTGAGTTTGTAATTAATAAGTGAGAAAGCAATCAAAATAAAACTCTCAATTCTCTCTCTTCTCTCTTATTCTTCTTCTTCTCTTCCATAAATCATCTTTCTTCAAAAAACCCTTTGTTCCAATAGAAAATCACAAAAAGAACTATGACTAATAGCTTAACAAAAGCACACAATATTAATAATTAAATTACTCTAACATCATATTATCATTTTCATCACTAAAACCATTATGATCTTCATCAACACTTGGTTCATCGGGTTCTAACACTATAACGGGTTGCATAATGATTGTGTATTTTTCTATTCATTGGGTTCTAACACTATAACAGGATGACATTTCATATTTCCTTGGCATTAGATTTTTCAAGGATAGAAGATGTTTGATGATGCATCAAAGAAGATATGCAGGAGAAATTCTCAAGAGATTTGATATGAAAGAATGCAACTCGACATTAACACCTGCTGAATCGAGGTTGCAACTGTCGAAAGATTCAAAAGAAGATTATGTCGACCCAATCCAATATAAAAGACTTATTGGGTCATTACGAAGTAAAGTATATAGTTGCTTCTCTTTGTGTATGTCAAACAACATGGATGATGAACTTGGTCGAAGAGATTACAGGGAAAGATCATGGAGCAATTAGCATGAAGATCAACAACATGTCAACTATCAACCTGGCGAAGAATCCGATAGCACATGGTCGAAGCAAGCACATCGAAATGAGGTTTCATTATCTTCAAGAGCAGGTAGCAGATGTGAAGATGAACTTGGTACACTGTAGAACTGAGAATCAGATTGCAGACATCACGAAGGGTGTACATGTCGAAGTATTCAGAAAATTAAGAGCTATGATGAATATAGATAATTTAGACACAATAAATTATATGGTGTGTTGAAAGTGTAATTCCTTGTGTCGAAAGCAATATGTTGCTCGACATAAGATTGTGTCGAATTAGCTTAATTTGTCGAGTTGTTAGGTGTGTCGAGGCAGTTGCTACACACAAATTTGATTTAGATCCAAAATAGGTATTTTGGACTTTTGGGTTTTGGACTTTGCCTTAGGGAGCAAGCTAACCTACAACTATAAATAAAGGAAGTAACCCTTATTTTGTAATCAATTCATTCATTCATAGTATTTACAAATGAAAGTGAATAAGAAAGTTTTCCATAATTTGTGGACAGGGAGAAACTCTACATAAACCCTAAATCTCTTTTCTTCTTTAATCTTCTTTTCATTGTCATTGTGTGGTGATAACAATCTTGTTCATCAATATTGATAGAAATCCATCATAGGTTTTGGTGGATTTCCATCACCAAACACTTCTTCAGGTATCCCTCTCTCTACAGAGCTTCACAGACTTGAAGACCTTATCCGGGAGGTGACAATAAAGAGCTTTGAAAGATGGTGAAGAGACTCAACGAATAAAAGATATTATTGGAACATGTCAATATATCAATATTCTAATAGGGAGATGAGTTTGAAAAAGTTTCATGAGTCCTTCATTATTAAAAAAAAGCATGTTTGTGTATTAGTTGAGAACATTCATTAGTATCACAATGTTTAGATTAGAAAACTTAACTACTTTATTTCATCATATAAAAAAATCATTCCGTTCATTCCAAAACACATCAAAAATCATTATTGAAATATCTTCAGAGAAATATTTAAATGTTTCTTCATTTGAGAAAAAAATTAAAGATAGTAAACTATTAGTGTAAAATAATATTACACAAACATCTAATTGAAATATTTAAATTTGTGAAATTATATAAGTGTTTTAAAAATAAAAATGTAATTTAGTAGGATACACATCCTTCTTTCATAATGTAAAAATATTTTACAAGGATGGTTTTAAAGATAGTTTGCAGAAACAATGGTATGTTTTCTTAACATTCATCTGCTACCACTAAAACTTAATTGAAATTTAAATAATATATAGAGTATTTATGTGTGTGATTTGTTGGGGTTGGAGTATTTCCCCCAAATGCAACCACTCACTGTAATTGATATCTCTTCACCGAAACCCTAACAAACCCGACCCGGAATGGAGAACCGGACTCGGGTTCGGTGTCCGGAGAATGAAGAACTGGCGTCGTTCATGTGGAACACGTGGATAGTCATGGCTTCGCAACCGAAAGGTCTTTCCAAAGCTCATTTCAATGTCCGTAACTCTAAAATCCCAATTCGAACAGTTAAAGATTTCTCGCTTATTAAGTCAAATTTCAATTTCTTCTACTTTTTGTCTCTATAAATTGTTAAATTGTAATATATGAATATGAATATGTGTTTGATTATGATGTGATGTATTGAGTTTGTTGTGACTTGAATTTTTAGTAAAAAAAACTCCATTTTCTTTGAATTGTAGAATTGTGCATGTCTTGTGTGAAAGGGGGTTGTTTAGGTGCTTAGTGTTTGGTTTTGTGTGTGTGTTATTTATGTGTTTTTTAAGGGGTGAGGGTAAGGACTAAGGAGGGTGTAAGGTTGTCTAAATTGGGTTTTGTGGTGTATCAGAGATGGGGATGTTGTGTTAGATGTCTGGGAAGAATAGACGGGATAAAATTAGAAATGATAATATTAGAGAGTGTTGAGGTAGCATCTATAGTAGAAAAGATGGTTGAGAATACGATTAGATGGTTTGGATATGTAGAGAGAAGTCCTGTAGATTTTGTAGTAAGGAGAGTAGATCAAATGGAGAGGAGGCAAACAACTAGAGGTAGAAGAAGACCTGAAAAAATTATAAGAGAAACTATTAAGTAGGATCTTGAGATTAATGATTTGGATAGAAATATGGTCTTGGATAGAACATTATGACACAATTTGATCCATGTAACCGACCTTTTTAGTGGGATAAAGCTTTGTTGTTGTCGTATAGATTGGATTTGTTTTGACTTGAACTTATAGTAATAAAACTCCATTTTTCATTTTAAAAGTTGAGAATTATAAAATATTTTGAGTGAAAAGGGTTGTTGGATGCTTAGTGATTGGTTTAAAATTGGGTTTTGTTTCAATCTAATAATGCTGTCTTTTTTTTGGAATTGTGTGTAAGTGGTGTGGGGAAAATGATATTGAGGCTGATGCAGGGTTTTTTTGGGACTGGGTCTGGAGGTATTGAACCAGGGACCAGTTCTAGAGGCACTGAACCAGCTGACTTGACCAAAAAGGGTATGCCTTGACATGCTTAGTTATTTTTTAATGCCATCTTCCACTGGCTTTACATGTATTTTGTCCATATTTCTGTTGAATTGTTCCTTTTTTCTCCAATCTTATAGCAAATAAAACTAAAGGAACCAAGCGCTATGCACTATTGATAACCCTTCACATGCACTACTGATACATTTTTTTGTGCGTGTTAAATAGGTTTTTGAAGCGGTTGTGGACTTGTGGTAAAACTAGTTATATTATACTTGATTTAGCACATTTTTAATAGGGGAACTTCAAATGGGAATGAATTTATGCATAAACAGGAGCTTATTGATGCTGCTGAAGCCAGTGGGTTATCTCGAGCACTAATTGCGCATGTTTGACATAGTTTCTTTTCTTGTTCTGTGTTTAAATAAACTATTCTAATTGTTGCTGCGAGTATTACTAAACTAGCTACCTAACTTCCTAATTAAGTAAGGTTAGTGTAGTTTGATAATTTACTATTAAACCGGATTCATATTAAAGACTTCTAAATACGAATGAATACTTGGTCAATGGTGTAATGGAATACGCAATTGAATACGTAATTGATAACAAACTTTAATAATTAAATACTCCAATAATTATCTGTTGTCCATTTCTTTGAGATTCCTTTGAATGTTCATTTTTGAAATTGGAATACATATTTAACTAACTTATTTAGTGTTGACCAAATTTATTTTACTATCTTCCTATTTCCTTGCAATTGATGGGAAGATAACATTCTTTTTCTTGGTGTGTGAAATGTACTATAAAGCTGTCTCATCCATTTTTCTGTTTCTTTATCCTCCCCTCTAAGTTTAGATCCTATTTTGAGTTCCTTCGCTTCCATACACTTTCAATCAAGTAATTTTTCTGTTTCATTGGGAGATCTTATCGGTTTTTTTTCTTCTATGTTGTACTTAATATTTTTGTTGTCTCTAATTTTCTTAATCTTACTCTAATTTTTATATTCATTTTCAAGTTTTCTTTCTGCAGGAGATCATATTCTGAGTTTGATTATTCACATATTTATAGGTAACATCTTTATCTCTTTATAAATGTTTTTATCTTTGTGTTAATGAATAATTTTTTTTTTTTACTTTTATTTGGATCTACAATGAAATTTGATTTAAAATTAATTGATTTTTGTTGATTTTTTTGTTAAAAGTGATTTCTTAACTCAATTGTTAAAAGTAAACTGAACATAAAATTATAGCTTATGTTTTAATATATTTAGTTAAGTGAGCTACACCTTAAATTTAAGAATATAAAAAGCAAAGCCAGTTCTCTCTAGTAAAACCACCTTATGCCTTAAAAGTTTGGCATGAAAGGCTTCTATCTTTGGAGGAGTTGTTCTTTTTGGCCGCTGGATTTTACTATGTAGGTTATGTTTGCATGTTTTTGTTGCTTTACTATTTTAATTTTTGTTGAAAGACTATGTTCTTTTTTTTTTTTTATAAATAAAAAACTATGGTCGTTTTTTTTTATTATCACATAATAGGGTAGGGCAGAGAGCAGACATAGTAGAGGGCAAAAAAAATCTCTGCCCAACGGACTGAACTCATTTTACAGTAAATAAAATGGATCAGATTTGTTGTTGTGGTCATCAAATTCACGCAATTTTGCACTCAAGTGTTAGAGGTCATTACATCATACTCACACAACTTTGATTTAAGTTTGATATTTTCAGCAATATTAAATATAAATTAAAATTTTTTTAGAAGGTTGGATCAATATCAGACGGTGATTGATGGTGTAACTGCGTCATTGCGGGGAAAAAAACTGTATGGAATCAATTTTCAAATAAAATACCCACTTTTCTTAAAAGAGTAGCCTACCTATACCTCACTATATATTTTATAAATAGAAAATTGTGAATTCAAATCCACACTTAATATACATATATAATTTTTTTTATCAAACTTATATGTCATAGTGTTGAATATTGTGAACAGAGTGCAAGTGGTAGAAGATTGAATAATAAATAAATGAACATCATGGTTGTGACTGGTTTTTGATGATTTTGTTCTGTTGACATTCTGCTTCTCTTCTACAACCACTTCTTCCTTCATTCATTCAACATTCTCTCTGTTTGGTGATTGATCTCAGTCTTAGTTAAGTGAAAACAACTTCAGGTAACTCTCTCATTCTCTTAATTTCTTATTGTAATCATTATCATTTTCTAGCTATTTTCGCTATACTTTTCTAATGTTTCTTATTTTCTAATTCCGTGGTAAATCTTATTTAATGTGTGATGTGATGCATGATAATTCATTTCTCAAATTACAATTTAGTTCTTAACTTCTTTTATTTACAGGTTGTTTTATTAAGATAAACCTAGGTTCTTTATTCTGTGTTTAGTTTCTTAAAACGAAGAGAACCATATCTTTAAGAGAAGAAACATAACTATTTATCTTGTTAATAGACTCTCAAGCTTGTATTATGTCACACTTATATCTCTAGCCCTTTTTGGCATGACAGTAAAATAGTGGCAGAGATGGTTGTTGAGGCATTTCTTTCGTCTTTCTTTGGTGTGGTTTTTGAGATGTTGGCTTCAAGTAATTTAGTAGGCTATTTCCATAATGTCAAACTTGACACACTGGTAGAGGAACTTGAGTCTATACTCAATTCTATCAACCAAGTGTTGGATGATGCAGAGAAGAAGCAATACGAGAATCCAGACGTGAAGACGTGGCTTGGTGATGTTAAACATGCTATGTATGAGGCTGACCTACTATTAGATGAGATTGCCACTGATGCACCATTGAAGAAGATGAGAGTCGAATCTCAACCATCTACCAGCACTATCTTCGACTTCATTCCAACTCTTACTAATCCATTTAAATCCAGGCTCAAAGAATTGATAGAGAGCCTAGATTCTCTTGTAGGGCAGAAGGATGAGCTGGAATTGAAAAAACGAGTGTGTGCTTATAATGAAGATGGAGTCAATTTGGAACTTTCAGAAAGACTACCCACTACATATTTGGTGGATCCATCCCGCATATATGGTAGAGATGCTGATAAAGATGAAATGATCAAAGTTTTACTTTCAGAGAATGGCAGTGATAACCAGGTACCTGTAATTAGCATAGTGGGTCTAGGTGGAATGGGTAAGACCACTTTTGCTAAGCTTGTGTACAATGACCACGCGATAGAGGACCATTTTGAACTTAAAGCTTGGGTCTATGTCCCAGAACCTTTGGATGTTGTTGGACTCACCAAAGAAATTCTCAAGTCATTTCATTCTTCATTAGATGATGAATCTGTTTTCAATCTACTCCAACAGCGTCTGCAGAATATACTATCTGGCAAAAAATATCTGCTTGTTTTGGATGATATTTGGAACAAAAATGAGGAAAGTATGGAGCAGTTACTACTTCCCTTTAACCATGGATCTTCTGGAAGTAAGATTATCGTGACAACACGTGACAACGAAGTGGCAGATGTTTTGAATTCCACCAAGATATTTGATTTGCAACAATTGGAGAAAAATGATTGTTGGAGTTTATTTGTGACACATGCGTTTCGTGGCAAAAATGTGTGTGAATATCCAAATTTTGAATTAATTGGTAAGAAAATAGTGGACAACTGTGGAGGGTTGCCTTTAGCGGTAAAAACATTGGGCCAAGTCCTGCGAAAAAAATTCTCTCAACATGAGTGGATGAAGATGTTGGAGACTGATATGTGGCGTTTGTCAGATGGGGACAACAACATTAATCCAGTGCTGAGATTGAGTTACCATAATCTCCCTTCAAATCAGAAGCGTTGTTTTGCTTATTGTTCTATATTTCCTAAGGGTTATCAGTTTGAAAAAGGTGAATTGATCAAGCTTTGGATGGCAGAAGGTTTGCTAAAGTGTTGCGGAACAGGAAAAAGTGAAGAAGAGTTGGGTAATGTAATTTTAGGTGATCTTGAGTCAATTTCATTTTTCCAACAGCCAACTGCTAATAATTACTTTGGCATGCATGATCTTGTCAATGATTTAGCTAAATCAGTGTCAGGAGAATTTTGTATGCAAATAGACGAAGCTAAGGTGCAAGGTATCCATGAAAGGACTCGTCATATTTTTTGGTCTCTACAATTAAGTTGTGTTGATAAATTAGTGAAACCAATTTGTGAGCTTAAGGGACTGCGTAGTCTGTTACTAGAAGGTAATAGAGCTGTGTCACTAGAAAACAATTTGCAACGTGCGCTGTTTTCAAGGCTAAACTGTTTGCGGATGTTATCATTTAGATATTGTGATCTCTCAGAGCTAGTTGATGAGATAGGCAATTTAAAGCTTTTGCGTTATCTAGACCTTTCTCACACTGAGATTACAAGCTTACCTGATACCATTTGTATGTTGTATAATTTGCAAACACTCTTGTTGCGAGACTGTTGTAAATTGACTAAGTTCCCTTTCGATTTTTCCAATCTCATCAATTTACGCCATCTTGAACTTCCCTATTCTATAAAGGAGATGCCAAAGCACATAGGAAATTTAAGCAATCTCCAGACCTTGCCTTATTTTTTAGTGGAAGAACGATCTGATCTTAAGGAGTTGGGGAAACTAAACCATCTTCATGGAACAATTCAAATTAAAGGGTTGGGTAATGTCATTGCTCCTGTAGATGATGCGATAGCAACTTTGAAAGATAAGAAGTATTTAGAAGAAATACTTATGAAATTCAATAGCAGAAGAGACGAAATGTATGACTCAATAGTTGAAAGCAGCGTGTCTGTCTTGGAGGCTCTTCAACCAAATAGCAACTTAAAGAGGCTCACTATTGAGAACTACTTTGGCATTATGTTTCCAAATTGGATAAATGGTTGTCATTTACCCAACTTAGTATCTTTTACATTGCATAACTGTGGATTATGTTCCCATTTGCCATCACTTGGGCAGCTCCCCTACCTCAAAGAGCTTTTCATTTCAGATTGTACCGGAATAAAGATAATTGGCGAAGAGTTTTATGGAAATAACTCAACAAGCGTTCCGTTCAGGTCCCTTGAAGTATTGAAATTTGAGAGGATGGACAATTGGGAGAAATGGTTTTGTCTTGATTCTCTTGAAGGTTTTCCTTTGCTTAAAGATCTTTCTATAAGATTTTGTTGCAAATTGAAAAGGGCCTTGCCTCAATATCTTCCTTCTTTGCAAAACTTGGAGATTTTGAGTTGCAAAGAGTTGGAGGCGTCAATTCCCAAGGGTGATAACATCAGAGTGATAAACGTAATGGGATGTGATCGGATTTTGATAAATGAATTGTCGCCCAACTTGAAAAACTTGTTCCTTAGTAGAAATCAGTACACTAAGTTTCCCCAAGGGCAAAGTTTACTAAACAATGCCATTCCAGAAGACTTTGTCCTTAATGGCTTTGTAGAATGTCACTCTTTGGATTTACATTGCTATAACTCTCTTTCTACGATTTCCATAGCAGGATGGCCCGGTGTCTCCTTTCCATTTTTACTATACTTGCTCACCAATCTTCATTCTCTTAGTTTGTCTGATTGTCCTAGGCTGGAGTCTTTTCCAATGGGAGGTTTGCCTTCCAACTTGGGGTACCTTGAAATACTCAATTGCCCAAAACTAATTGCTTCTAGAGAGGAGTGGGGTTTATTCCAACTCAATTCTCTGATTCATATCAATATTAGTGGTCATGACTTTGAAAATGTGAAGTCTTTCCCAGAGGAGAATCTGCTGCCACCAACTCTTGAGTATCTTACTTTGAAACACTGTTCAAAACTAAGATCAGTGAACTACAAGGGTCTTCTCCATCTCAAATCTCTTGTATATCTATCTATTTACAACTGCCCTAGTCTTGAGAGCTTGCCAGAGGAAGGTCTACCCAACTCCCTTTTCAGATTGTTCATTACTAGATGTCCATTACTCGAGGTGAAGTACCGAAAGGAGGGAGGAGAGCGTTGGCATTCAATTAGTCACATCCCTTCTGTATGGATTGACGATTTTGAGCAGCAGGAATGACATGTTTGTCACAGGCAAGTACAGCTCGTGTGTTAACTTTTTCTTAACTTTTTATTTGGTATAATAATAATTAATACTCTCTATGCATTTGATGTTTAACAGTGGCAAGTCTATGTAAATGTGACCTCTTTCTTGCGCGTCACCTCGAAAGATCTTGCAACCAAGACATACCATTGCCACCAACATGAAGCACAACCACTTTCTTAATCTTTTCATCAATTCAAAAATATGTTTAATTACATAAAGCTATTAAGAGCCTGTGTTTCTTTTATGTTAATTCATCGAAGACCCTTTTATGTTGATTGTCTGTTCATAAAACATGAGACTCTAGAAAAGAAGCACGTGGGTGGCTTGCATCGATCAATTACAAGGTGAGATTGTGATTCAGCTTTTCTTATAATCAAGTTCCTTGTTGTGGTTGATTTAGTGATAACAATCTTCATTCACATAACATAAAGGCAATGATGTGTCTTTTAGGACTTGAGAAGAAATTTGGAGAAGACCATACTTTGCACCACACTGCCATCAGAAGAAGAAATATGTGAAACATATTCAAGTCCGATATCTGCATTTTATATGCTTTCAGATGTAACACATAACCATTCTGCAAGTACTACTCAGGCATCCTCTTCAACCTCTGACTCTTTTCTCACAAGTTTCATTTTATTTTCAGTCACTTTTCAATTTACTGTTTGTATATTCCTTCCTTATGAAATTCAATAAAGTAGTACTTTCATTGTAATACTTTATAGTTCTGATTGGGTTGATTACAGTTGCTCAAGAATGATAACATATAAAATGAATGTGTTTTGTATAATTCAGATGCAAGAATTGCTGTAATTGTTTGGGATTTCTTATGTTTTTAAATATGAGGCTGTAAAAGATAAACATGAGATTTTTCATTATAATTTGTCAATATATAAAAGGGTTAAATATACGATACCCTCTACCAATAGGACGAAGTTGGCTGAACGTGGATTCCTTAATTTTGTTTTTAACTTTTATTTTTTACGTTTACTGTCACGTAATAATTTAATAAAAGTTGACTGGACGTGGATTCCTTAATTTTGTTTTTAACTTTTATTTTTTATGTTTTTTAAAATTATTAAAAAATTATTTGGGTCTTAAAGACCTATTATTTGTATAGACCCAATGCCATTTCCAAATAAGTCCATTATTTCATATTTGAAATGTGTTGTGCAAAAGAACATTATATACACTTTTATTTCTTTATCAAATTTTGATGTGGGACTAATTTCGATGTGTTGTGCATATCATGCTCTGTTTTAACATGTTCACAATGAGGTTGACAAAAAATGATTAAGTCTTGCAATCAGTTTCAACCAACAGAATCAGAAGGCATAATTAAACAAAAACTTAAGCTTTCAGTACTAAAAACTTTAACTGTAGAAAAGAAAAGAAAGGTCATTAGTAACACCTATGGAATTTTTCGGATTGAAGAATTTGTGAATTCTTCTGTTGCATCTAGTTCCTTTGATGTAGAATATGTTTGTTTGTTATATAAATTATAGTAGCCTTTCATCCATGGCATAATCAACTGAAAATTGAAAATGTTTATAGATAGAAAATAGGTTCATTCTTATCAAACAAAAGACACTTATATTTTTCAATGTGGCATTTGATTAAAGAATGACATTCATATTTTTCAATGTTGTATTGAACTGCATTTTAACAGATATTTTCAAGCTATCAAATATGATGAAAACCAAAACCAAAACTAACATAATATGCAATACGAAGATGATATGCTGAAAAGCTACTTTAAGAATTGAGCAAAGAGAAATTTCCAACCTGAAATGTACTTATATCATAGGCAACTGTGACGCTCCATTTCTCCTTCGGTGATCCTTCAGTTGTTGCGGTCATGTCTCTACATTGTTCTATATATATGAGATGAGGTCATGGGTATCATGATAGTGTCTTGTGTTGAAAGTGTGAAAGTGTGTTGTGTTCTGGTATGGTAAGATAGTCCCACATTGATTTTTTGTAGGTAATATATCAATGTTTATAAAACAAAAAATAATATAAAATTGTAAAAATTAAATAAAAATTAAGGAAATATTAAATTATTATGTGACATTGAATTTGATTCAAATATATAGAATTATTTTGTAGTTTTGACATAGCATTAAGAAATATCTTAGGTGAAGCACCTAAAAAGAGAGGAGACAATGCTGAATCGGGAGGCCTAAAAAGAGAGGAGACAATGCTGAATCGTTAAGAAATATTCCTATCTTATGTTTAACTCGTAACTTATGCTTTTTGGTGGTAATTTTGAAAATGTCTTCAAAATAGATTCGAATTTGAAAGATGAAATTGGTTAGAAAAAGGTTTGACCTTATATTTGCAAGGAAAATAAGTGGATCAAGTAAAGTTAATAGCTAGATTTATAGAATCGAAAAGTAAAAGTGTTGAAATGTAAATAACTTGAAATTAATGAAGACAAAATAATTGATATAAAATACCCTATTGGTAAAGATAACTTGTTGAAAATTATAAACACAATATGTTTATAGTTAGGAGTAAATATTAGAATTTTAAATATCCAATCATTTGTTCTTTGCAAATTTTTTATTTATATGTGACGCAGTCGGAAGTCTTAGGGAATAGTAAGCGCTAAACTTAAAATGAAAACAGAGTTACAAGCATAAAACCTATTAGATAAACTCTGGAGTCCACCTGAAATAAAGAAAACTTAAAATTTTATTATAAGAGGCATTATATATTTTTAACCCTATATAAAATGATACCGCACAATATTATAAATTTGAGGAAAATACCATACACTACTTTTCCACAATACACTTACCTAAAAAACTTCAAATATATAGAATTATTTTTCGTTTTAGTAACATCTTACATTCATTTAGATTTGGTTCTTGTTCAGTAATTATTAACAATTTCGGTTGTAGTTTTGGCATAGCATTAAGAAATATCTTAGGTGAAGCACCTAAAAAGAGAGGAGACAATGCTGAATCGGGAGGCCTAAAAAGAGAGGAGACAATGCTGAATCGTTAAGAAATATCCATATCTTATGTTTAACTCATAACTTATGCTTTTTGGTGGTAATTTTGAAAATGTCTTCAAAATAGATGCGAATTTGAAAGATGAAATTGGTTAGAAAAAGGTTTGAGCTTATATTTGCAAGGAAAATAAGTGGATCAAGTAAAGATAATGGCTAGATTTATAAAACCAAAAAAGTAAAAGTGTTGAAATGTAAATAACTTGAAATTAATGAAGACAAAATAATTGATATAAAATACACTATTGGTAAAGATAACTTGTAGAAAATTATAAACACAATATGTTTATAGTTAGGAGTAAACCTCAGAATTTTAAATATCCAATCATTTGTTCTTTGCAAAAAATTTATTTATATGTGACGCAATCGGAAGTCTTAGGGAATAGCAAGCGCTAAACTTAAAATAAAAACAGGGTTACAAACGTAAAATATGTTAGATAAACTCCGGAGTCCACTTGAAATAAAGAAAACTTAAAATTTTATTATAGGAAAAATATCTTTTATGGCTATGCCAAAAGTCTTTAAATACACATAACATAATTAAATTGCTTTCTAACGCGCAATATCTTCTTTGATAAGTCAAAAGTCTTTAAATATATTAAACATAATTAAATAAAACAAATAAAATAGAAATTGCTTAAATATTAAAATAATATAAATATTAAATTGTTTTCTGACGCACGATATATTCTTCGATACGCCAAGGTAACCCTCCTACATCAGACTCCTTCACTTCTAAAGAACTCAACCTCGAGTTCTCTTCTTTATAAAGAGCTTCATCTGATTACAATTTAATGTAAGTACCAACTGGATATCTCTCCTTATGTAGAAATGCCATCACATCTTCTCTCACATTGAAAACTTTAACTTTCACGTGTTTATCTTGCATAGGAGGCAAATTGTTTGGTAGCTCATCTGCGGTATACTCCTTAAAATTCTTTAGGACTCCAGGCAGTTCTACTGGAATTGTTGTTTTCTCCTTTACATCATTCATAACCTCTTTAGTCAATATTGGACATAAAAATGTAGTTTCTTTAATAGTCTCATCATTCTCCTTTTCACTCTGTGTCATCACCAAGAAACTAGACTTCTTTGCTCATGAGTTCTTGTCAAAATGCAAAATAGGAGCCATAACAATTTTATGTGTACCTCATGTAAACATCATCATGTTATCCCTTCCTCGATAAGTGATATCATTATCAAATTACCAAGGCCCGCCAAGTAAAACATGATAAACATCCATATCAAGAACATCACAAAGTACCCATTCTCTATAATGCTTCCCGATGGAGATAGGAACTCTGCATGATAGTGTTACTCGAACTTGGGATCCCTTGCTTACCCAATTGAGAGTGTATGGCTTCTTATGAGCTTCTGTGGACAACTTCAAATAATCTACCAATTTCCGTGAGACCAGATTCTCCATGCTGCCACTATCCACAATTAAATTACATACTTAGTTCTTGATAAAATTATGTTGTAATACGGTGCAAGAACTGACTTGGGTGTTTTGTGTTTTATCGCAAATGTTACGGATAGCAAGAGTCGCCACCGACTTTTCTTTTATCCAATAAAGGGAAGGGTGAAAAAACAGGAAAAACCTTTTGAGACATTTTCTTGAGTTCGGGGGGTAGGTTATGAAAACGGAAGGTGTCAGCACCCTTTTCATCCATAGTTATCTACGGGCTTTTAATTACTAGTTCACTTTGAAATACTTTGTGTGATCGGTGGATCTGGAACTGACTGTTTAACGCTGGTTCGCGAAATGTCGCGGAAGCAAGAGTCGCCACCGTCTTTTATTTTCTCCAAATGGAAAGGACAAAAGCACAGAAAAATTCCTTAAAGAGATTGCTCTCGGTTCGGGAGGTAGATTATAGAAAGGGAAGGTGTTAGCACCCTTTCTATCCATGGTTATCCATGGGCTCTTAGATACTTGCTCACTTGTGTTTTCAAAAAT